CTGTAGGTATAGTAGTGTATTTATTGCAGCTGGCTCAGAGCAGTGTTAAACTTTTTACAGCATAATCTCAACACTCATTTATTCCCAGTGTTCTGCTAGAGAAAAATCAACTTTGCAGATTAAGATAAAACAAGAGAGGATACCATGTTTGTTTAGTCATAGTGCTCACCTATGGTGTATTTCTAACATAACATACAATGTATTTCTAACATAAAGGTGATGGTTGGGATGGTGCTGTTGCTGATGTGGTCAGATCATTATGATTTTATACTGTACTTAAAGAAATTTGGTATGATTTCACTTTTGGGGTCTTTTAGCAGGAGATGTAGAGGAGTTACCACTAATAGAGGGGGAGGGGAGGCTATGGGGCAAGAGAAATGTTTTTGTTCTGTATTTGATTCATTATGTTCACAAAACAGGTGTTCATTCACGTTTTATGTGGTATTCTTGTCTTGGGTTTGAAGCTTAAGTGAATGAACGCACTTTGTGGCAGCCATGTGGTTCTTATTTTCAGTTATGCAAATATCACCATCTTCATTCAGGTCCTTTCCAAGAATATAATTGTACCCTTATGAGGTAGAGGGTCCCCAATGAATTCTAAGGTCATCTTGCCGAGATCTGATGAACCACGTTTTGCTCATAATGGATGTAAAATGAGCTAATTTGGGTTCATTGTGCAGTTCATCCCTGAATAAATTGAAAGACCTTATGCATTGTAATTGGTTTTCCCAAGGCCTCACCATCAACTAGCATCTTCTGCAGAGTAGGCTGAATTCTCTTTATTGCATATTTTAGAACCAAGCCCTAACACTGACCCTTGTCTTTTTAATTTGTTAAATTAATGTTAAATTTCATACACACCTGTCTAAATATCTATTTTTGTTTCTTGAAGTTTTATTTGAATTATTTCAGGATAGTTCACTTTGCAACAGCTACAAAACAATACGGTAGTGTTTCTTACCTTTCATACAGTACACGGACAAGTAGATAATTTCCATATCCGGTTTAAGCACACAGGACAGCACAGGATAGAATACCAATCCACCACAGAGTCACCTCCCAGCAAATGCTAATCCCCATTCATACAGGGGGGGGACTGGAGAAGCTGGAGTAGAGTACATGTACACTCATATTCCAGTATAACGATGTTTGGCATACGAATTTTTGCTAATCCGAACATGAAGAATTTGTACCTTGTGTTACAGTTCCAGCATCCCACCACCAGAGGGCACTCCAAACTCTAGGTCCTAATTCATCTGTGCAGCAGAGGCGCAGATCAAGCAGACTGCAGTAGCCAATCCCTGCTTGCCTCCCCTCCCCGAACATATTTAAACCCTGCTCTTTGTTCAAATTGTGCTGAGTATTGTTTTCAACTCTTTGAGCTCTCGAGCTATCCTTTGCTGAATTCTTCCTGGACTCCTTGCCTTTTGGATTTTTGCCTGTTTCCTGACCTAGGTTTTTGGATTGTGTTTCTAGTGCTTGATTCTAAATTTGTCTTCTGGCTTTGGACTTTCACTCACCTCTTGACCCTGGCCTTGGTTCTCCCTTATTTACTGTCTAGGATTGTGTGACCTTGAACCTTGCATAGGGTCCATTCCTTGTTTTCTGAGCTGTGACCAGCTTAACACCTGGTAATTTGTTATAAGAATTCAATTTTGCTAATCTGAATTTTGAAGTTCGAAAGTGACCGATTTTGGCCGAGAACCTGAATTCACCACCACCGAACAGATGTTTGTTTCTGCACGTATGCAAGGCATTGTGGTTAAGGACACCTTGAGGCAGCACTGCTTTGTTTACAATCACAGAGATAATTTTCAAAGTGTTTTATTGTGTTTGTTTTGTAGTTGCTGTTCATTATGGGGTCTTAAGGAAGAGAAAAAGATTCTTTAGCGTAAACAGTATGCACCTTGTCTGGCCGATCGCTTGGATAGCGATCTATTACAAAAGAATGAGAAATGTAAATATAATTAATTTTACAACAATAGTTGGCTTATTTGAGTAGAACTGAATTGTTCACTAAGCTTGCTATAATGGTATGTATGGTATTGTATGCTTAGGGTGGTTTTTGATTGAACTTATCTTAGGTTCGGAACAGGGTTGAATTTTTCCCACAATCGATCTCGATTCGATTTATATCCGGGGTATGAGTGTATTCAATGGCAGAACAGTAGTTTCTTGGAGTAATGTACTGTACATGTGCTCAAGGCACAACAGAAGTGTCTTGACCAGGGACTTGACCCCACAACCTACCAATTTCTTGTGAGATCAGAGACTTTGTCCACTATGTTATGCTGTGTCCTAAATGGTTAATAAAATGAAAGAAAATGTTTGGATACTAAATGGAGTATCTCAAACCAAGCAGATTGTAGTCAAAATATCAATACAGCCCATTCTTGCAGTTGCATCACTGGGTACTGTCTGTTAGAAGTATTGGAGAGCTCAAAAACTGGGAAAATGTGTACAAAACATTGGAAAATAATTTGGAAAGAAGAAATTAACTGTATAGAAAATTTGAGAAATAGAACTTTGGAAGCTGTAGAACCAGAAACAACTAAAGTCTTTAAAATGCCATTGTTTTTATAAAAGTAGAACCTCGGTAAATGACATGTAACCTCAGGCGATGATGCTTTCGCTATCAAACCCAACTCACATTCTTATGAAAACAATTTGAAGTGTTCATGAAATTTTAACAAAAAATAAAAATAATCATTGGTGTACTTGCTGTAACGAACAGTTCTTTCCGGACCCTATGCGGACAACACAATCCGACGAAGTGGGGAAACGTCATGCAGGAATACGGGGCTGAAGACAGGGGGGCGTGTCCAAGGTGCGCTGGTGCACGGGGGAGGCGTGGCCGAGGCGAACAATCCAAAAGAGTAGTCCTTAGAGAATATCCAAAAACACACGAGAAAGTCCAAAACCAGGAGATCCATCAGAACAAGAAATTAAAAACACGAAGGCCGGGTCGGAACAGGAACAGGAACAGGAACAGGAACAGGAACTAAAACCTTAACGGGACCAGGCGCTTCCAGGTACCGGACTCGCACTATATGGAAATCAGATGCAGAGCCCGGATGAGCGTCAGCGCCTGGCTTTTAAGGTGGGCTGGGAATAGGGAGCAGGTGCATAGAATAAAGTCTCACGTGAAAGGGCTGGAGCACCCTTAAGGAGGGGGGGCTGTAATCGTGACACCATTTAAAGAATTTATAGATTCAGAATTGTGTTATGCTTAACTAAAAGTCTGTGTTTACTTGCCATATACAGGGTAAGTGATATAGACTATGAAGACCAGATCAAAGCATTTTTCCCTGCAACTCGGGGGTGCTCTTTTTTTGCTCACACTGTACTGACCCCTTTTCAAAAAGCAGACAACAAAGACAATCTTCATTTTATTTGTTTTAGTTATTAGTTATTTAGTATAATTTATTGTTATTAGTTATTCAAATTTAGTACATTTAGTACATTTTGGTTTAATACACATTTTAACTGCTTAGTCTGACAGAACAGTTCCAGTTACACAGAAAGATCTGTAGAAGTTTATTCAACTTCTAATGGACAATAATCAATAATATTATAACAAAAAGGAGAGCAATGGCAGGGTGGGTCACACTACTGCTTCACAGCTTTTGAATCCTAGTTTTGATTTAGGATAGGTTTAGACATTTAATTAGTTTCAGATGAAATGCAGTATTTGGAATAAACCTGCTAGCTCTAGTCTGTCAGTATCCTCATCCACAGCCTATCCATTACCGTAAGACTTAACACCAAAGACAGAATTACCTCATTTTTTAGGTAGTCAAGCACGCATAGCTCACCGCCAACACAACTGTAAAATCCATCATGTGAACAGGAAGCCTCATCATGTCTTTTTGAATACCAACACTCCTTGCTGTACAGCACTCTGTATTTGAATTTCTGAATGGATATTTAATGTTTTCCATTTCATACAGTTTGTTAATGAAGCAGTAGAGTCACCCCTGAACTCCACCCTGTTATTACCCCTTACATCATGTTACACCTAATAGACCCTAAAAAGCATGCTTCACTTGGTCTGCATGTACCTTTGAACTCCAGATGTGCGTTATTGCTCATTCCGCGTGTCTGTTTTAACCATATTTCAATGCACATGAAAAATTCACATCTTTCACACTCAGCAAAACCAGAGCTGCCCACAACTCACGTACACTAAATGGTAGAAATATTAGAGCTGCTCAGACACTTCTTTCTGTTTTCACCATATCCTGCCTTCTTAAACCATAGGCTAATTTAAATTGTGCTTATCCATTATTCCCCCTTTTCACCCACCTCCCCCGCCCATTTGTCTCTTCTTCTATTATGGTAAACTGCCTACTGTAAATACAGCATCGACAGCTTTATTGCCCAAGATGCAAATAGTACCAAGCAGTCAGCCTTCGTGGTTTGTGTTTTTCTTAAGCACTTGAAAGGAAGAATATTCAGATGCATTTTGATGACAAAACCCTTCATTTCATAAATTGGAAAAAGTATTATTTGTAGTTGCCTTGTTCCTTTTTGGTTGGTTATTGAAGTAATAATTGGTTTGACGTAATTGGACGGAAGACAGGTACAACTAGGAAATCAGACCCTAGAATCAGTAACTGACTCTGCAGCTATAGTACAGGGGAAACCTGAGCCAACACTCAACAACCTCAATGAATAATCTACATTGTTAATCTTATCTCCAATCTTAATACTGTAGATATTAGTATACATCATACAATATTACCTACTATTATTGTATTACTACAATAGCTGTTTGATTAGGGGTATATATCTGGATATATCTGGATACTGTTTATTTTTTCAAATAACTGCTTGATAAACATGATTCTGTTGTCATTTATAAAATAAAGAAACATGATTTTTGGTTACATCCATTAACGCAGCACATTCTCCAAGCTGAATTGCATCAAATAAATGTTGACATGGTAACGGAATGGAAAAGGAATCATTCTAAAAGGTTTTCTAATAAGCAGGAGAAGCTAGCATTCACTTAGTAGTATCAATAGAAACTGGCATCTGCTATTAATTTGCTTTCTTAGGTTGAGAGAGAAGCAAGGTAATTGAACACTTCAGGGTTTTCTGGGAACAAGCTGGATAAAGTGGCTCTTTGAATGTTTTTTTAACATTCAGTCCTTTGTCCATGAAAACAAAGAAAGGTTCCTGTTTTGTTTACTCTGGAATTTGACGAGTTAGGAATGAAGTGCTGCAACTTTGTTAATTGTTTCGAATCAGAATGAGCCCAAAGCAGACATATTGTTTGAGCTTCCTTTTACCACTTAACTATGAGCATCCTCCTTGGAATTAAATGTGTAGACCTGATAAGCAGCTAAACATTTTCCACCCAATTCAATGAAATCTGCTACAGAGTATAAAATGCATGTAGAATATTAAGTTAATAAATTAACATATCTAAGAGACTGTATGATCTTGAGCAGGGCATGTTACTAGGGTAAAAAACAGAAAATGAATTCTCGTAATGACGACACTTGCCCTATTGATATAAAATAAAGAATCAGACTGCTACAGTATGTTCTCAGAGAGTTATAAAATCCATATTGAACCTTTCTATGCCTTGTGCACATCCATTATGAAATAGTGTTCATATTTGGGTACCATAGTGAACTTTACATTTGTTTTTTGTGTGCCTTGTTCACAGATAAAACTAAGCAATACATCCTAGAAAATGGAATATTATCACTGAACACACTAATGCATAGCATAGCTAATGCATATAATTCCATGGGTTTCAATGGATTTGTTGCCTTATGTGTTGCTTTATTTTACTCTGTGTATGGTTACTATATCAACACTAATATTAGCTCTGTTTCAGATGGTGATAACCTTATAAAGACACTCGTTTGGATATTACATTATTTTATGAGAAAGAAACCAACAAAAACATTCTTTAAATCAAGGTCACTATTTACAGTACGTAAGTTACAAAAGAAGTTAATTATAGAAGAATTTGTAGAATACCACAGAAGTTGAGGCTTACTGTTCAAGTAGCTGAGCCAGTTACTGTACTCTTTGGTACTGCTGGGTGTGCCCTGTAATCCATCCTTCACTGACAGGTGGTAAGGCAATATGTCAGGTTAGTATGTATCAAGCTGAGGTTGGGTAGACTCGACTTGAAACAGTGAGAGTATGGCAAGTCAACGATAAAACAGGGAATTCAGTGATTTCCAGCTGGCTGTGGTGGCTGCAGTGTTGTAATGAAGAAACTCCACCAATGTTAACCTCCTATGGGCAACATGGGGCTTGTAGTATGAACAGGGGCACAGGAAAGGAAAACTTTCACAATCCCCCATCTCCTCCAAGTTAGTAATGAGAACTTCAGCTGATTCACAGCTGTGATTTCTAATGGGGGGATGTATAAAAAAAATGTCACAATCCAATACCATAAATTAAAAAAAAAGCACACAAGTGAATAAAAACATAAATCCACAACTAGCTGCTGGACAAAATCAGAAATCTATAACTTTCTATTGAACAAGTAAAGAATGTAGATTAGGATGGTACAGTGGGTAAACACCTACTGTGATTTCATCATATTAACCATTAAATATTAATAACCAATTTGCTTTATGAATGTTATAAATGGCCTCAGACTTCCCAAAATCAATACACATTTGAATGCAATGTCTGCTCTGTCTGATAGCTTGCTGGAGACATTACAGTTTGGCTGATTGATGCGTGGAATATCCTCTTATAATGTTTTTAATGCAAATGCATTTTGTATTCCTAAACATGTGACCCTTGTGGGAACCATATAACAGGAAAGTGAAGGTTTTTCATAAAATGGGGATGTGAACAGTTGCTTTACTGACAACGTAAGTTGTTTTACAATTGAAATTCACTTCACTTCAATTCACTGTCAATAAATTATGAAAATTTAAAATGGCGTTTTCTCAAATTTAAAACTTTGTGATCATTATATCAAATAATATAAATGAACATTCATAACTATCACTTCAGAAAATATATACAGGCATGTAATTGTTAATAAGGCATTTGGCCATTCATTTATTATAATCTGATTGAACCAAATGGCTGTAGGTCCCAGAACACTTTGCGAGTACAAAAGGTTGATTTTCCTATCTTTAGGTACACACAAGTTATACAGTATGTATAGGATTAATAGTTTTTGAAAGAACAGCCATATTTCACAAAGCATTTGACCCTAACAGCTTGGATCAGATATCAGGGTAAAAATTGATTTTATTTTGAAACAATTAGATGGCTGAAATCTTTTGCGATTCCACCCACTCACATCATGATTTTATTGTCCATTTTGTACAATACATTGCACAGAGCAAACTTAATTGCTTTCACTAGAGAAACAGTGTGAAACTCGGTAGTTGCATGAAACTGAGTTTATGAAATGGTTGCAGTTAAGGGGGGGGCTACCTTGGTTTCTGATCAGTACATAAATACTTTTAACTTGTGAGTTCCAAGAAGCAGGATAATTTGTTTAAACTCTGATTTTATTCCTGAAAATTCAAAAGATTGTTTTGTCAATTTTGTCAATTTGAAATTGACAAAATTAATTTCTGTTACTGCTATTAGAGAGGAAAGGCAATCCACATTTTCCTGTGAAATGGACACTGCAAGAGCAGAGTCCCACACTACCAAAAGCAGATTATGTATACATCTTGAAAAGTGACACTTATCTTACTGACAACACTGCAAGCTCACAGGCACCAAGTAAATCATGGGAGTCACTGCTGTACGGCAGTCGCTTTAACAAACTCACCTTAACCTGCTAACATTTTACCCATAAAGTGTATCCATTACTCATACCAGTCAAACCTCCAGTTGAGTACCTTCACTTTTGAGCCACTTGAAAGTACCCAGGTGTGTTAACTTTTAGCTTATTGGTTAGATTTGAGATGAGAAAAACTCCAAAGCTGGCTATAAGCAATGTAATGAAACTACCAGTTCAGAATTGTGTTTTACTTGGCTTCCTTTCTTTAAATTGCAAATTAACGCTGTCCAACTCCCCTATCTCCGTAGTGACATTTTCAATTCATACATCCAAGTCACAGCATAGTGCTTGTATACTGTACATTATCGCTATGGAATCATCCATCTGTGTTCTGATAGACACAGATGAAATTAAAGATTATTGTGGCAGTCATGTATTAAAATGGTATAGTAATATAAACAGAATGCATATGCATTGGGCAGATATTGTTTTAAATTACTGTGAAGACAATACAACCTTTAACTGGTTCATTTTTAACAAATGTAATGCTTCTTGAAATTAGAAATTCCTATCTCTTGTATCTCCTATGTCTCTTGTTACAACAAAGGGTTCATCTGAGCAAAAAAAGTAGTTGGGAGCTCAATTAAGCATCTTTCATACTTCATTGATATGCCCAATGTTCCACCCAGCTTTAACATTGTGTATTGTGCCTGTGGTGTTCAAGAACCTCTTGTTACCATGAGGACCAAATTAAATTCAAAAGCCCACAATAGATGTCTAGATGTGTAACTAGGTCACCACAGTATAAGGTGTTGTGCTGATATACACTATTTTGTCCCCCGATAACCACAGCCCTTTCTGAAATGCTTCTAGCATATTCATTTTGTTCTGTTTACATTCAACACAGTTGGAATATTTATTTTACCTTTTAGTGTACTCCATTTAACAATCAAATCTTGTTTCCATTCCCCTTTGTCAAAGCACTGTCAAATTAATCTGATTGATCAAGTGTTGGTCTACATTTGAGAGCAGAAGGCACATCCCTTGATGATTCTTTTTTTTTTAATTGGTTGTACATGTATGGATAAAATGAAGATAAGATAACTTTATTTAGCCACATACAATTTCTTGTATTAGGAATTTGTCATTTAACAAACCCCAGCTTCTCTCTCCATGAGACACAGGCAGGGAGAGAGAAGCTTGGGGTCAGAGCACAGGGTCAGACATTTATACAGCACCCCTGGAGCAGTTGGGTTAAGGGCCTCACTCAGGGGCCCAAGGGAGTAGGATTCTTTTGCTAGCCATGGGATTTGAACCACCAACCTTCCAGCCACAGGCACAGAGCCTTAGCCACAGTGCCACCGCTCCACCCGAAGGAGGTGTGGGGGTATGGATTTCTGACTAAACTAGTGTGAAAATAGAAATACTTGTCTTAGTGTTTTAAAAACATACAACAACAAATGACCTACTGTACAGTTCCTATTGGTGAACATTGCTAACTTAAAAAGTCAATTTGCATCATGAACACTATGCAGCTGTACAGACTCAGAAGTTTCTTTATATACACTTACAAACTTCTGTCCTTATTAGAATTATTTCTGGAGCTTAAGTACTACAATTCAAAACAGATTAACACTTCCTGGCACCACATTTAAAATGTTTATCTGCTATGAATTACCAATATTAAGCAGTCACAAGGTGCAAAGACATTGTTTTTCTTCTGCTTATATACTGTATGTCCACACCTGTGTCTGTAGACCACTTGTGTCATCAGGAAAGGTTAAGGAACCATTACCGCTTCAATTACAGTACCATAATCAAAATTAAACTCAGAGTATTAAGACTAAGTTTTAAATGTTTTGTCGCAGTAGTGATAAACATCTCTTTTCTGTCTGTTTTTATCCTAAAATTTAAGTACTTCCAAAATTAAAAAAGCACTGTTTTGCTACTAGTTTTAGATATTGCCATCCACAATACAGTATTATATATAAAATTAATATGATAATTCAATCACAGTGTGTTACGTCCCAGTGTGTGGTCCGTGTGTGTTTTGTTGCTCTGTTCCACACTTCCTGACCTTGATTGTTCTCTCCCCCATTGGTCCATCATTACATCATTGCTTCTGTGTGATGTCATCATCAATCAGTTTCTCAGCCATTCAGAGTGCAGCTTATTTAGTATATTAGTTGGAAGTTTTCTGAATTAAGGGACCTTTTGTTTGACTTCAGTCCTGCTTGGCTTCGGTTTCGTTTCACTTTGCTTCGCTTCGCTTCGCTTCGCTTCGCTTAGTTAGTGTGTATTTGTACAGCTTCGGCTTTGTTATTTTGTTGGTTTGTGTTTGTCTCTTTGTACTTTCGCATGTTTGTGTGTTTATCCTTGTTTAGCCATTACCTTGCCCAGACATATTGTATCAGCCTCTGTGTTCTTTTGCACCCTGTTACTTGTGTCTACTCTCATTTTCCCTTTGGTATTTGTAGTTCACTTGTGTATTTGTGTGAACTTTTGTGTACAGGGTTAGTTTAGGTTGTTGGGTACATTCCACACATGTAGTTGATTTTTTGCATTAGTAACACTAGTTTAGTATGGGTGAGTGCCATTTGTCTTGCATGATTTTGGGTAGCTAGGGTGTTTGAAGACGCCGAAGACCGTGTGTTTCGGGTTTTCTTTTGTAGTTAGGTTAGCTTTCCCTCACTTTCTTAGCAAGCTCCATTTTGTTTGTTATTTTCTTTTCTTGGCACCACTCTAGTTCCTTTTCACTTTGTGTTATTGTGTCTTATTAAGTACAAGTCACTTATTCACCTTAAAATAATCACTTTTGCCTTAACCCTTGTTGACACGCTTCCTAGTCCCTCACCAGAACCCACCTGCATCCAGAAATTATCATAAAAGTTACACCCCTGTAGCCATAGACACTTGAGGTTGTAACAGTGATATAAATAAAAAAAAAGAGTGGTGAAACTATCTAAGACAGATGTGAGAACAGTTAAGGCCTGATTAGTAATAAATTCGTTTTTAGTAACAAGAATCATATTAAAGACTTTGTGTAGTTCTCAATTCATAAATGATCAAATTTGCTTGTTGTGTCTTTGATAATAATAGTTTTTGTATGGCAGTCACATATTTTCCAATCAATGAAATAGATTTTAAAACTGTTTTTGCTACTGTAACCTTAGAAATAGTGTATAGTACTGAAACGCTGCTCCCTGGCCTTGCTTTAAAATTTTAATACTGTATAACAGCTTTGGATGCTATGCCATTACTGGTCAGGCTCATTAAGTGGTCTTCTAGTGTCCATAGTGCTGCAGAAACAGCCTATGTAACTCTTTACTCTAATGTACTGATTTTTATTGGCATTTTCAGTATATCCCATGTTTTAGGATATTTCCAGAATGCCTAACAAAAAATAAATTTAACTTCTTTTGGAACTCTGGTTGCACACACTGTACATGCCCTGTTTATGGAGGGATTGTGATTTTAAAGGCATTCAGACATAATCCTACAGATGAGGGCTTCATATCATTGGTTCCTCAGCCAAGTAAAGATACCAAATGTCTGAACCTTAGGGTTAGGGTTAGGAAAGGGGAACAAAACTCTTTCTCCCAGATTTTCTCTAAGACGGGACCATCTGGAACAAGGAGGGCTGCACAACCGAAACCCTCCCAGTTTATTTTCTGATGTTCAGGCCTTGTGGAAAGATAGTATCAAGATTTTTGATCCGCTCCATTTCCTTTTTCTTTCTTTCTGTCTTTGACCAGTTGGGGTTGCTCTCCAGTCCCATGGCCTCCAGCTCTTCCAAACCGTGCTGTAGGAAATGTGCTACCAGGTGAGTGCTCCTTTCCAGCTGGCTCCGGATGGGTTAGGGTTTGGATTCTTGTGCCAGTCGGGTTCGGATGGAGTTACCTGTTTCCCCCACATAGGTCACCCTGCACTTTTTGCACTGGATGCGTTACAGCGTTATTGGTGGCGCCTTTTGCAACTGGAAGATTTTGTTGTTTTGGTTTATTGTTTTCTGTTTGAAGTGTTTGGCTCTTGGTGTACGTGATCTGCTTTGAACCGGTTTTAGCTTGCTTTTGGACTAAATAATCCTGAAGGTTTTTCTGTTTTCTCTTTGTTCACCATGACATGTTTTTTTTTGTTGATTTTCTTTCATTTTTGCAATCATCCTTCGTACTTTAAATTTTTTGGATTGTGGATGATCGGTGCTCATTTCATTAGTTGTAATCCATAATGTCTGTAGAGGAGGCCTTTCTCTAGTCAAGGTTTCCAGTGTCTAAGAAAGCTAAAGTCATCTTCTGCACACCAAGTCCTCATTCAGGTATTGTGCTGTTTATCTAGCCACATCATAAATCATGAGAATAGCCACATTGTGCAAGCAAGAAGAGTCATACTGGCCATGTAGGAACAACACTCCTTATTTGCCTATTAGTATGTGGATACAGTAGATGTACCTCATTTTAACCAAAGTCTAAATCAGTAAACTGGTACTAGAATAACTCATCAAGTGTAGAACGATTACAGGATTTTGCCAAATAACCCCTCTGGGCTCAGACCCGGATACTGTAAATTGAGCCTTTTCTATTTTATTGATTAGTTTGTCTAATGTCTAGTTTGTCTGGTATGATTACTTTTTGCCACATCTTTCCAGTATTACTTAAATTAAATTACTTTGCTTTGTTGCAGACTTCATTCAGATTTGAGTTTTCCACAGTGACATATACAGTAGATCCCATTAGTGAAGCCAGAAATATTGTTGACACATGGATGTTTTCTCTCAACTCAGCAACTTACAGTATTTCCGTAGCTCTTTCACAGTTGTCGTTGTCTTAATGGTGACATCCCTAAACAGTTTCCTCCTTGCCCAGTTGCTCAGTTTGAAGGCAAAGCCTTATCTAGGCAGTCTCTTGGTGCCCTTCAACTTCTTACTGATTGAGTTCACCATGCTCAAAGGGAATTTTAGTAGTTTTAGTGAATAATTTTATACACTTCTCCCGATCTGTGCCATTATACAACTTTATACAACTTTAAACAACTTTAACCCCGAGTTTGTTAAAAGCTCCTTGGCTTTCAAGGCTAAAAGTCTTGGTCAAACTGAACTGCCTAACAACAGGACCTCACAGAGACAGGTGTATTTATTCTGAAATCACGAGAAACATTATTATTACATACAGGTAGGGTCCTCTATTTTGTACTTCATTAATGTAATATTGTGCACCTAACTTAACGTAGATTTGCCATAGCAGAGTGTTTCTGTACTTATGCAGTACTGACTCTTCCATTTTTATTTCACATTACTTATTTCTTTTTGTTTTTGGCTTTGAATTTTTGTGGTAGATTGGGTCTATAACCTGTATTAATTGCTACTTCAAACCGTCATGACTACAAGCTTTAAAGTAATTAAATTATAAAAAAGTATGCAAGGGATTGAATACTTTGCAAAGTGCTTCCCCAAGTTTGTTTTAAGACGAAAATCAGTTTGCTTATCTGTGTGATGTACTGTATGCTTATATTTGTATGGCTGATAAATACATGTAATCAACCTGTACGTGGCAGGTAACATTCCTGTTGTCCCATGATGAATATGTGCTAGCCCAGTGTATAGGAAGTTGTGCAGATAGTTCATTGAAGCAATGTTCATTTAGCTCAGTTGTTAAACTTGAATCTTTAATGATAAATCTACTTTAAATGCAAACTCATAAAAGCAACATAATCTGCATGAATTGTAATTGATTTCCAAGCATTTTAAAGGAACTGTGTGCCCTTTTTGATAGAAGCACAACTGACAGCTGATGTAAACATTTTTAATAATACAGTTAATTTTAGAAACTAAAAATGAGTGTAATTTGTGCCAGTGAAAGGCATTGGTTTAGTGGTGTTGATGATTCCGGGTTATTGTGCCCCTGAATCTGCTCATTCAGTCACTAGTCACCTAGGATACAAAATTTGACTTATAATCGTAAACACAGATGGCTAGAAGAGTGGTTATGGTTGAATGGATCATTTAAATACTTCCTTCCTAATGAAATATTTTCTGCACTTTGTTGAAATGAACATCTTGAATGATCCTGAACATCCATTGATTTAGATCTCCCAGACTTAAAATACCCTTAAAAATGTAATTTTTGTTTGCATTCTTTGAGGCTACCTTGGGCTTATCTCAACACCTGCATGTCACATTTTACACTTCATGGAATTTAAAATTCACTCCAGTTTCAGGCACTTGTGTGATCATTGCATTGCACAGTAAGGTCTGGTCACAGGCGTTAACAGTACCTTTCAAAAATGGCAGTACTATCATTAATTCGTTTTTAGCATTTGTATGCAGATTCTGTTCAGAATCAGGAGAAAAATATAAATAAAATATGCAGACAAGGCTGTTGCTGCTAAACCATAATAAATTGCTAAACCACAATACAGTTCTTTAAACAAAGATTTTCATAGCAATGCGTTTAAAAGAGTTTGCTTTAGACACACAATCTATCGTAAGACATAACACTTTTATTAAATACACTGTATTACAAGAGACTTTTTTCCATTTCATTTTGAGAAGCTGGTCACATGGTACACAAATAATAATAATATACTGATATTCAGGCATTGGGTACAAATCAGCCAAGATGCAATGGATAGCTGGAGCAATGAATGCCTGTAACACACTGCAAAAAATCTACTAAAACGGTAGCACAAAGACATCACATATGTAAAGTACAGCATTTGTAACCTTCTATGTATGTAAATAGTAATGCCTTTTAGAATTGTTCTCATAAATAAAAAAAAAAGAATTAAAGAACACAATATACAGATACATTCAAAAGAAGAGATTGTTCTTTATGCCAAATCACAGTTTTTCATTTCAAAGAAAAGATTAAACAGAACCAGAGCTGGGGGCAAAACCCTTGCACTTCCAGCCTGTGATGCTTCTTCCAGTACGTAGTCTGTCGGATGAGACAATGCCTTGTGTTATGTCAGCAGGTTTCTTGTCACTGTTTTTAAATGCTACTTTAAAAATCTCATGGACACCTGGCAGATGAGCAAAACTGTACACACTGTAGGAACAAACAATATATTACAGAGTTTCAGTGTTCGTTAACATCAAGAGAATACAATACTGCTCCGCTCTCCAAATAAGGATAAAAAGAAAGGCCTGCCATTTTGTAGCGCACAGGAACTTTCGAATCTGGTAAATGCAATTTAAAAAGCTTGTTTTCTTCAATATAGTGCAAACTTACTTCTCTATAAATACTGAACTTGCCAAAGCATACAAGTGTTAGACATTTTATATAGTACTATTACGATTGTGCTGCATCAGATACAAGGGGATACATTTGTCTTTAATACACAACAAGGGCTTTTTTTAATCAGGCTGATGGTAAATGCAAAGACAGAACATTCAATAGATTGTATGAAATCATTTACAAACAACTGTTACCACTGATATTACTTTGGCCTAATAAGCATTGTGCTGGTTAAAGTTACCTCAAGATGCTCAGTAATAGCCTTATATATTGCCACTGGACCATGAGAATTTTTATCAGTTTTATTCATCTGCTGTCACACATTTTGCATTGCCTTTGACCTGTAACAGTGTGCTACGGACAGAATTTACTTTTAAGGCTTTAAGACCTGACACTTAACCCTCATCTCAGCCCTGGTCAACCAAAGTGCTAAATACTGATTAAAAAATATAATACATTACTCTGTCAGAATATTAGTGTCTTTAGCAATCTTATTTAATAATAATAATAATAATAATAAGAAGAAGAAGAAGAAGAATATAAAAATCTCAAAGATGTAACAGTGTCCTCAAATGTTACCAGCTATTTGTCAATCTTTGCAATGTGTCCACCTGGTAAACATTTTATACATTTGAATACATTATATAATGATAAACCCTTGCTTTACCTGTGCTATAAAACAGGAGAAAAAAAATAAAATGTAAAAAAATCAGTAGTTTTCATGTAACAGGTATTCTTTTGGATACAGCATCTACTAAAAGATTAGATAGGAAAAATGAGCAAATTGAAATGCAAATTATTCATAAAATTGCAGATATGTATTTACATTTAGATTTAGCAGCAACTACTATACTGTATGTCGCTCTGCAATCACCAGCTGGGCTTGTCAAGTGTGTCACGAACAGCACTGCCCTCATCTATTCTGCGCTGAAGTAAGGATGTCTTACTATTCAGTGGCTGCCAGGGGTGTTGCAAGTACAGCACATTTTTACAAAAACAAAACAAAAAATGTATATATACAATTTAATTGCATATCTACAGACACACAATACATGATATAGTCTTACTACAAGGTCATTATGCCAGTAGAAACTCTACATTCTTGTCAATGCTTTTTGTCACCTTGAAGTGGAAGGGGATAGGAAGTGCAAACAAAGTGAAAGCTGAATATAAACTTTTCCTTGAAAATTGTCTAACAGCCCACTCTTAACTCATATGTAGCTGTGTGGTTCTTCCACGGTTCTTCTCTGTTTTATACCAATCTCAAAACCAGAGGAGGCACTTAGCCACACTGATGGAATTAATTTTCTTATTATCAAACAATGGTGTTATCCAGCATTCAGAAACAGTATAATTATATACAAGTACATCTGATTGAAGACATAATGAATACTCAAAAAATAATTGGCTGTTGATTGAACTAATTGAATTTTTGCTCTCTCTGTGTAGAGCTTTACCACGAGAGACAAGCAGGCCTCTCAGAAAAGTGTAAAGTTTCTGCTCGTTCAAAAAAGGGAAAATTTGCCCAAAAGACCTAATTCTAGAAAATACCTGGCTCCTAACATTATTGTTGCTGAAAGTTTCCTTATATTAGAAATTCTGGTGAAGTATAGGCATATTAAGAATGATAAGTATTTAGTATCTATTTTGTTAACTGGCAAATCTCCCCTTCCTGCATCATAATGTCTTACAAACATCCCATTCCCTTCAGCAAGTAATCGGTTTTAGTTTAAAAATAAAACATTTAATAATACCATAAATAACTGTCACGCTACATTAGTTATTGTACAGTGCAGGTCAAACAAAATAATGTCCAATTGTTAGCTTAGTTCAATGGACAGAACCCTGCTGATACCAGCTACCTAGCATTAAAAGATAAAAAATATAGCTAACTTTGAAGAAGCATGAAATCCACATACAATAAGCATATGGCACTACTGCACTGCATGGTAGTTGTGCAATGCTTGATGGATTTTCTATTCTGCTACTCAAAGCAACTCTACCTCCAGTATATTCTTTCTTTACCAATACTTTCAAAACGCTAAAGAGACATGTGCTTTTATTCAGTAAAAGTTGCACGGTATTTAAAATACTGAAATGCCTCATATTCATTGGCATCCACCCCTGGAATGAGTTTAATTATTGATTAATTATTTATAAATATATATAAAAGATAATTAATTATCTTTTGCTTGTTCACGCAATGAACTACAGTTTAAGAAAAATATAAAATGCTTCAGTGAAATAAATTAAGGGTGCTTACAAAGGAACTGTTGACACTATTAAAATAATGCATTACAATCTGGAAATCCAATGAAAAATGATTAAATAATACAGTGCAATAAGCAACAATTTTAAGCCATTCAAAAAGGAGAACAGAATGATGATCCTTCCCAGCATCATTTATTTTTCAAAGTCACATTGTTTTTCTGACATAGCTTATTTCCAAATTACTATCACAAACAGATTTCAGTGTTGGTTTTGAAATTTAAAAGTGTCTGAATGCTAGAGATTGATGTGGTAAAGAGCTAAACTTCACAACTACTACTATGCATTTTTTGCAGCAGTGGATTCATGCTCTGCATGTCAGGAAAATTACTGAAGGATTCTGAGAAAAGAAAACCATAGCAACTGAGGTGTGGTGTTAAAATCAGATTTCTATATGACATAGATCAAATGTTAATTATGAAAGTGATTTCTACATCCATAGGGAACAAAATATTTTTGCTCATAGAATTTAAAATATGAAATATCCAAATAGCAAATCAGAATTCACTATCTTCCTATCACATTTAAACAACATAAAGCCATTTATCCGCCATTATTATGACCTCCATTAGCTTTTCTTAATTAAATGTTAAACTATTATGGATAGCTTTGTCTTTAAATAGTAAGTTACCCAAGCAGTGACAAGAAAAAAGAATATTAGACTATAAAGACCATGCAAAATTTAATTTTGCACCATTAAATAAAGGGCAATAACTTTAAAAGATGCATTGCAACAAGCAGATTTTTGGATATTTTGTCAGGGCATTTACAAGTGCTGTATTATAGAATTCCCCTGCTTCCAGTGGCTGACCCAGAATTAAATTCTGTGCAGTAGTCCAAGCCTGTAGTTCAAAATGATTGTCAGGAAATTGTGGTCATTATTACAGACAAATGTAGTTCAGCCTCTAGTTCTGCTATTGTATACGTTTTTATTTGTTCTATGCTTTTTTGTAATATCACTGTTGTTTTCCCAAAAAGGAGAAGCTTTTTAAATGATACAATTATGCAAATACTCCCGAAGTCGTAAGACCCAAGTAGACGTTGCATATTTCCTGGGGATGTTCATCTACCAGAAAGCAACAGCAAACCTACAAAGTCCTAGACAGGGAATAAAGTAAAATTTTCCTTAAGATAACAAAATTGTTTCCTGCTTTCAACTTTGTACATAGTACTGTACCACAAAATGTCCTTTCATGAGTCAAAAAAGAAAAAGCCAAAGTTTAGATGAATCCCTATAATTGTTGGTATTTACAGCAGATTTTTATTGTCAGTTTTCCCTTTATTCATCCCAGTCGAAGGCAAGAATACGAGAAGGCAATTTTCATTACAGAGGGCGAATATGAGTGTCTTCAGAGGAAAAAAAAACACTCACAATCAGATATAAGGCCTTTTGTCTATGTAGAGTTATGATGAGGCAGAAGCAGGATCGATAAGAGAAAGTTAACACTGGTCAATAATGCGCCTGCACATGGGAGAATTTATGGAGGTTGCCCTTTGAAAAAGCTTCTCCTCGCCTTCTTCATTAACACCATCGGAGATAAGAGCTGGATTTCAGCTGCACTCACAACTATATCCCACACACACATGCCTGCATACACACATACATTTACATACACACCCAAAGTACTCCATACACACAGAGGGAGAGGCAGTGATGAGAGTCTAGCCCAGGATATCCAGGTATACAGGTGAGGCCTTTGCCAGGTTTAGAAGGAGGCTGTGGATCTCTTTGATGTTCAGCCTCATATGGGGCTCACGCTGCCAGCAGCCCAGCATAAGGTCATATACTTCTTTTGGGCAGGTTCGAGGACGCTGCAGGACACGGCCCTGAGTGATGCATTCAATCACCTGTATTTGAAGGGGAAAAAGTATAAGTATTTCCTCACTGAATAACATAAAGCCAAAGGTATGCTCATCTTTACAAGTGATGCACTGTGATGCACAGAGCCTTTATTACAAGCAGGTCAACCTGAGCTGGTTATAACTCAAACAAACATAACAGACTTGCTTACACCTCTTTTGACAATCAAATCTGTCGGCACAACATTCTTTTTTTTTTCCATTCAATGCAATGGAATCTCATGGCAACAATGACTCATAGTTAAAGAAAAAATTAAATGACAATGAAAAACAAAATAACACAATATTGGAGGTATTATGTTTTCTATTTCCCTACTCAAAATCTGTCTTAAAGAATTATTTTAAGACACTGATATTTAATATTTAATAAGTAATTATTATCCAAAATTAAGGTAAATACAAAACATATAAAAGGCATCTTTGGTTGTTTTCACCTTATTTATTTTCCAGTATTTTAGGAGCCATAGGGATAAAGACATTTTTCTAAAATGCATTAGTGTTTAAGATGTGTTTTCCAAATACATTACCTGTACGATTTAGTGCAAGTGTCATAATTGTAGTGTCACAACTGCAGGTAGCTTTAGTATATGGCATTTTAATATTTGTGAAATTTGAAGAAACTCTATCCAAATTTTCTATCCCATCTTAAAGGAATGTGTGGAAATAATTATTCATCCAGGACATAGCCTCAAAAATGAACAACCGCTACCTAACATTTCTTAAAAACATACTCCAACTGTTTAGGACATCACATGACACAACCTATTTATTTGTGAGACCGGCAATGCAAGTTCATCAACTTGTTGTACTATTGTAATTGAGCAACACTATAACTTGTAGAAGTCTGTTACTTATGCACTAACCTCATTGTTAGAGAGTTGGTACCATGGTTGCTTGCCATATGTGAAAATCTCCCATAATACAACGCCAAGGCTCCACACATCACTCTCTGTAGTGAACTTCCTGTACATGATACTCTCAGGTGGCATCCAGCGGATAGGCAGCATTGTGTGACCTCCGACCTTTAAAAATAAACAAAAAGATTAAAGCATTTTGTCGTGTTTAATTGTTAAGGTACATCCCTTTAGAAACAACATTTTAATAACATTAGTAAATGATGATTGGATGAAGGAAAATTCTGACTGTGTCAATATTAAAAACTGGAATTTTTCCCTGTGTTTGGAAACTTGGGTATAAAGGGTAAACTACAAGGTTATTATCAGAGACTCATGGCAAATAATAGCACTGGCCTTTGACTATAAATGAGAGTGAGAGATACAAGGTAACTGCTTAAAAAATGACAGTAGATAATGACATCATCCCTAAGATCACAGTGATTAAAATCTCCTGGAACAGAGTGGAAGCTACTGTACTTATGAAACAAAAGCTTCAACTTCAACTGCTTTCTCCATAAAAAAAGCTAAGAACATGAAAATCAAGGAAAGAACTGAAATTAAATGCTATATTGTTAACAAAGCACATTAAATGGAAACAAGACATAAAAACTCAGTATAAATTAATGTTTACATGCATGATGATCCTGCTTGTTTCTTACTCATCCAAGCACTCCATCAAGATTTTATTTATGAAAGATGCTAGTGAATTGCATTTTATAATGTGGTATACAGCTATTTTGGTGAGTGTAATTTTGTGAATTACAATAAATTACAATAAAAGACAGGTAAAGAAAAAGCTCATTATATACTGATGAAAGAAGATTTATAATGTAACTCCATTTAGGAAGGTTAACCTTGGTTAATTTTCTTGATAATAAATCCTTTCCTAATAAACAACAAAATATATTAACATACTTCTATTATCTTTCAATTGACATAGTAGCCAGAACTACTGTCATGTTATAATTACTTCACATCAATCCATTAGAAAGCCACTAATTCTAGACTAGAGCTCACCTGGACTACACTTTGGACAGCACACATTCTTCAGCACGCATACACAAAAGCTTAGAGGAACTATAAAGAGAGACCAATTAACCTGTCTTTGGGAAGTAGGCAGAAACCAGAGTAAACAGAATTTTGTCTTATTCCAGAATCAGATTCAAGAGGTATGAGACATCAGCCCTAACCACCACGCCTCCCTGCTTTACAACAATCTGTGATAATTGCACAACGTGACACTATAGCCTTTATACCTTCACCACTGGAAAACCTAGCTGTTTGGCAGTTTATTTAAACCAAAATCCATCTGCCATTTGTAATTACTATGGTTTACACTAAGCAAATTGGTAATTTATCAAATGTACAGTACCTACGTCACATGGATGCTATCCTTGTCCCAATACTATAACTTTTGTTTTCTAAAATAGAATTAATTCATCATACTTCATCCCAAAACAGCTGCCACTTACTGAAGACTGAAAGCCAAAGAGAAAATGAGCACATTTTTTATAATTAGCTTTAAATATTGATGTTTCCATTTCAGGGTTTTTTGTTTGTTTTTTTTAACACACAGTTCATGAATAAAAGGTCAAGTGCATTTAAAAGATGATTAATTGTTACAAGATTCTGGTCTCATAAAATATTAAGACAGAGCTATTAGGCTTGCTTGTAATGCTCATGATTGTCAGGTATAAGCCGTTTCGTTGATTAAAAAATACCACATGCCCTTACTTCTCATGGGGATGTCTTATACCACAAATATTAATGTACTCTACCCACAATCTCACTTATCCTTACCCATAAAAAGTGAGAATTTCGTGGTATGACCTCTTGACTGTGACAAGCTACAAATGTTATCTCGATACTATTCATCATTGTAACAATCTTTGGGTTGACATCTGCATTGTGTAATAGCCCCTGTTGTGTACAGCTCATGCAGATGGAAGCTACCATATTGTGTCTGTCTACCTACTTGCTACAGAAAAAGAATCCCTGTTCTATATTGTACTCTACTGCCCTCTGTTTCTATAGAAACAGTGGGTCTGTGAGGGGATAACAGAATTTGCATTTAAATGGCAGTTTAAAAATATGCTGTATTAGTTTTTGACACTGCATGTCTTAGAATCACAACATTTGATTATAGTTGATAAAAAAACAGACATTTTGGCAGGGGGGCATGTAGCGGTAGGCTCCCCCTTCGATCAATCCGGGGAATATTTCTAATGCTGAACTGATGCACCTGCTTTCTCCACTACCAGAAACCTTATTCGTGATAAGGTTAGCAACAAACTGCAGCCCTTCTCCGCTGTTGATTAAAGCACGCATGTGTTGTAATGGGTCTACTGGTCATTCCCTTCATCTTACAACTCAGCAACAAAATGCTAATTTTTCTGCAGCAGTATAACGGCAAGGCAGTAGAAAAAGTATTATATAATTTGCAAGAAACTCCAGTTACCCACGCAAACCAGTCTGTTTCACAGAGATTGCAGAACGAAAAAGCAGAATTTGCCCCAGTGAATCAGCTTCAGAAAGTGCTAATGAAACACTACCCACAAAATCTTTTCCAAAATACATTTTTTTTCTCTGCTTTGATTTTGAACTGAAATGTCATTTATTTACTTAATAAATAAGCTGGAGTATATAAACCATGGGGATTCTTTTGTAACGTGTATTATTAAAGTCAAATAAATTACCTTCTATGATCAAGTCAAGAAAATGTGATAAGTAATATTAATTTAATGGAAGATGGAATCTGAAAAAAATATTATAAGGAATACCACAGTAAAATAACACATAATAAGAGCGCAGTAGGTTTTGACAAAATGGTGGTTCTTGTTGGAAACCACATTTGCCAGAATGACCTGAGAAAACTTGGTGAAAAAAAATGATTGATCAGGTGACATTTAAAACCAGGAAGCTTTCAGTGGTTGGTCTACATGTAATATCTGGGGAAAACATCAATTCCTCCAGGTTGTGCTGCATCATAGGGAGGAAGGAAGGCAGCATTTGATGGACTGTGGAATTCGGGGTTGACGTTTTTTTTTTTAAATTAGTTTCAGAGAGAGTTTTTTGTTTCAAAGCAGGTAAGCATCTTATGGACTGGTTGTTTATAGAGAGGGCACTGAAGATACAGTATTTAGATAGAGCTCAAACAGGGGCTTAGAGATGTTTTTATGGTTTGTTTTGGAGTTTCCACACTCTGTAAAATGAAGACTAGTTTTTATATGGCTGTGTGTGCGTCTGTTTTCCCCGAGATCCTCCTTTTCCCAAGATCCTGCTACAGCACCCTATCCCTGGGTATGCCATAATATCTATTAAATTTGCTTGCCCTAAAAGTATTTCTGTGAAAGTAATTCCTCAAATTGTGTTATAGGACAATTATAAGATTAATCCCATGTTGGAAACAGCAACAAAAAGAAGAAAAAAATGAAAAATTGAAAAGAGACCAATAACATTTACAACCCAGGTCATGAAATGCATTCTCTCTCTCTCTGGTTGCCACTGGTGCTAATAAACACAAAGCAGAGTAACAGCACAAGAACCAGGCCTCCTGGGATAGTAGGACACTCTCCAATGACCATCACAAGATAAGAATGAAGATAAGGACAATAGGATCCCATCTTATCTGAATGCACTTCCACAGCAGCCTGTTGCTCCCAGTATATCAGGAATAAAGTCAATTATCAAGTCAACAAATCCCATTATGGTTTAATCTTGATCAGAGTGACCGTAATGTCCTCAGTTCTGTAAAAATAAAATGGCCTGCACTTTGCAACAGTTTTTGTACATTGTTATTTAGTAGTTGGTTTGTAAATAACCAAAAATGGAATGCCAATGAAGGAATGACAATAATAATTACATTACTTCTCAATTAAGGTGTTTAATATGATGGTCTGCACTTTGGATCAAGAGCATTGAAGCTTGTTTATTTAAAAACGAAAGTATGCCAGTTTTTGTTAACACATTTTTGAAAGCTTAGTAAAAATTCATAGTTCTAAAGTCTATTCAATATACATTTTTACAATAACAATCTTTCACTGTGCAAGAAAATCAGTGGATCACTTCATCATCATCATCATCATCATCATCATGTTCTCTGCATTTATATTAAAGCAAACATTAATTACAACTATAAATGGTGCCTACTTTTTATGTTTAGCTCTTTGGTCGGCAACTGAGAATTATATTTTAATGTTACTGCATAACAGGCTTATGGTACTTAAATCATGTTTATATCCCTATTTGCTTTTCTTTTAGTAAAGATAGTCTCCCACAGTTGCCTAATGCCCATTATGTGCATTACATCACCTGCAATACAAAATTATGCACCAATTTAGAATAATGGCCTGAAACTGTGGCATGTCCATTTTACCCATTGCTATTGATTTTTCTGTTAATAATTTATTGTAACCCACATTCTAATATGCTGTATTAAATATGGATATTAGATCAAGGTAGAATCCACCTCATTTCAAACATAGCTACAAACAGATTTGAAACAGCTTGATTTTCTCTCTATATTTAACCTTACTTAAATGCAGTTGCTTATTGAATTTGTATTGTTGCTGGTGATGAGGATGCTGGATGCTGGTGTTAACACACTCTGATTTATCCATTAAACAAAAATTAGCTCATTTTAACACAGAAGCAAATCTAGTTAAATTGTTTTTTTATATATAGATTTATTAAGCATTATGGTGTTCCTGGGAAGTGGAAAAAATACCTCAGATTGCTGTATCATTCCTTTTGTTGCAAAAAGCCATGAAACACAGACTACTCTTGCGGAACACACTGCTACACAGCCATGGCACTGCATACTAATCGGAGCTCTTTAATGACTTTTTTTCTCTGAATCGTCTGATACATCCCTGCTCCTATAGCAGCCGAGGTTTGCTGCCATGGAAACCGGGCCTCCAAATGCGCAAAACCCCCATATCAACATTTACAGTGTATTCCACTGGTGAATTTCGTAGAGAAGGGAGGGTCGCAGGCTGGCAGGCTGCGTTTGGAGATAAAATATCCAATAACATTGCAATAGGAAATGAATTTGCTTTTAATTAAAATTAATAGCGTTAGAAAGGGACTGCCTTCTGCAAGTGTGCGGAAAGCAGGTTTAACCCATTAAGCAATGCGTCCTGCATTCCTAATTCCTAATCATTTAATTCCAATATTAACAATTTAGTTTAGAAGTTAGACACTGAACTAAAGATCCACATTTTCTCTTCAAAATTGTTGCAAATTTGACAATTTCTATTACATTTATGCAATTGAATAGTAAACATTCTGATTGTTCGATCAGTGTTTAGAAATAATATGTTCTACATAACTACCCTATTTTGTTATTCGCATGCATTAAAGTTTTAAATAAGAAATTCAAATAACAAAATTATTTTTTTTTCTTAAAGTTCGTAGCATTACTACTTTGATCAAATAAACGGTAATTAAACACACAAGTCATAAAAGTCTGCACTGCAAATTTATCTTTATATAAATAATCATGTTTAGGATAAAGCTTATGAATGAAATTGATGCCATTTTTCAAATTGGTGATTTTATCACACATCAAGCCTGAGGTACAGTATCAGTGCATTACAGCAGTTATTGTATGTTGTTTAGATCTTCCCACAAAGTTAGAAAGGTCATGAATTCAACCCCAAAAAAGTGGTGCTTAAGGGTTAAATCTTAACAAGTATTAGCCAGCTCAGAAAATGCATGTTATTCAGAGAAGAGTGTGCCAAACAGTAGGCGTTTGTGAAAGATTGAAGGGGAAAAATGAAAAAAATAATCTAGCAAAAAAAGCATAACCAAAACTGAAGTACCACATTTTTATTTCTCCTTTAGAATGACGTTAAACTGAAGAAGGCTGAGAATCTACACGAGCTATTTCCTGAAAGATGCCAAGGTATCAGTTTCCACAATGTGGAAGGGCAGCTTGTTCCAGACTCCCAAGACCATTTATGCAAAAAGTGTCTCTGTTTTCAGTTTTAAGTAAACTTCCCCATTGTTTCCATTTTAATCCCCTAGTTCGTATTTCACCATTGACTCTCAAGAAATTCACTGGTGTGACTTTGTCAGTGGCTTTGAGCATTGTGAGTATGTGTCTTGTGTTTAATTGGAGCAATATATTTCTTGTAAGCTGATTATCAAAACCGTACACCATACTAAATGAAATCTTTCTAGTACAGTGTGCAGTTTGAACATGTAAGAGCACAATCAGCCCAGACAAGATGGCAGCCTTTTCTGGAGACCACATTCCCCAGAAACCTCTGGGGGAATAAGATGTTGCTTTCAGTCATGTGACCTGTTACTGGAAGACAACTGGTCAGATGACAGTCTGAAGAAGCAGGAAGCGGAGTCTTTGTGCATCAATCCTGAGGACAGAGGGCAGATCCATTGCTAAGCAAGCTGCACCAGAAGGGGCAAGGGAAGGAAATCACAAACTGACTGAGCAAGTAGAACAGTAAAACAGCTGTGAGTTTTGTGAAACTGAATTTGTGAGTTTTTGAGAGAGTATTTTTTGGAAGTCCCAGAGAAAAACACAGGATAAAGTCTTGGTGAGAGACTTTGTTTTTTTGAAGCGTCATAGAGAGAGACTGTAGTGCTGTGAGTTTTGTTTTCATGCCAGTAAGAAGTTTACAGTAGCTGACCAGTCTGTAAGAAAAGGACTGTGTGAAGAAGCTCAAAAAGGAGCTTTGGCTTTGTTTTGGTATTTTGTTTTGACTGAAGCATTTTGATTTCCCTAACTTTTTTTTTACCTTATGCCTGTGTGTTGGTGTGTCTCTTGACCTGGATCCTCCCATTATGACACATCCAGCATGGTGTCACTCATACTGTTACATCTCTTAACTTCAGGTCTAAGATGTTAGTATAATTGAAGTCAATCTCACACAAGTCAGTCTCACACAGCTGTATCTAACCGTCTTCATCATTATAAAATGAGCTACATGTACCAAACTCAGCATTTAATGAACTGCCATTTGTATTCATCTGAAGCATCCCTCATCTGCCCTATCTCCACCTTGCAGCTATCCCTTGGTTCATTCACTCTGAATGCAGTTTTGAACCTAATCGTCCTATACCCAGGAGGTTACCTATTAACCAAGCAGGTTAAGCCAAAGTTTTCTCACCATATATTCCAAGCATTCCCAAAGCCTTCAATTCTTGGATGATGCTCTAGTCTCTAGTGCTCTAGTCTCTAGTGAAATCAATTTAAAAATCATTAGACTTAATTTTTCTAAATACATAAATGCTCGATCAATAAGTTTCTTTTGTTGCTCAGTACACAAATTAGGAAGGTCCTAATATTGATCCCTGTGGTACTTCTATTTTCAGCATCACTCCTTACCTGCACTCTCTTCTTCCTATATATTTACCAGCTTTATACCCAAATACATGCTTTACCTTGAAAGCCTCCCACCAGCAATTTAAGAACGTATCTTTTATTAGAACTTTTATCAAAGTCTTTTGAAAATCTAAATGTTTGTATCCTTTACTGCTTGTTCAAAAAACGAAACAAATTAGTTAAGCCCTAACCACAATTATGAGACTTTGTGATCTTTAATTTGCCTGCTTTAATTTGATCATTTCTGTCACAGAGGCACCTCACAATATCTTGTTTTCGGCAGCCTCCTCAATATTCTTTCCTCTTTTCTAGCAGAGCACTCTTACTCTGTAGTGTTCTGCTAAACTATCCTTCCTCTCTTCCCCCTTTAACATTTCCTACACTATCTGTCTGGATAAGGAAGCGAGAATATTCATAATAACTAAATCTAAAGGAGATCTTCCTTGTCCATTACTATATAAACGATAAACAGTATATGGGAATACATACAGTACATGGATATACTGTATACAGCCGCATACATGGGGAAATTGTGCCTGCAATCTACAAAAAAGAAGACAAGAGCTGTCTCAAGTGAAATCCTAATGTTTTCTGTGTAAGTCAGTCCAAGTCAGTCAAAGTAGGACACTCTATGAATATTTTGTAAATCAAATGGCAATAACAATTGTGATGTAAACATGTTTATGATCTTATTAATATTTTTCAATAAGATCTCATTTATCTTTCTCTGTGTTCTTTTATTCAAAATTAGATTGCCAAAAGGAATGCCACTCATTGTGGGAATGCCACCGCACTATATTCAGATGCTAAAAATAAGAGAAAGAAGCACAGTTGAGCATCTACCGCCCACACACCTCCCACCCAGTAACAGTGTGGCTGGAATCTTGTCCTTACTCATTGTAACTTGATTATACATTGCTCTCACCCTGCCCTCCTTTAGCAATGGTTGCCTAACAGGAATATATGAAGTAAACTACAGTTCAAAGGTTTATATCCTTAGTTAAAATGTTTTATGTAACACCTAAAGGTGGGTGAGACATACTGGATATTGCATGTAGGTTGTACAAGTCTTTTTTTCATCTGTGAACCTTGTTGTCTAAATCTAAGACTCATTCATTTGAATTGTAAATTCTAGGCTGTAGCGGCAATAAAATATTTACCGATAGCATTCTTTCCCAGTCACATATTCTAATTTTGATAATATTCCTACAAATAAAGAACATACAAACTTAAGCAACAATATAAATTAGAGGAGGTTATCGGCACCATTGTAGCTGTTTGTTTGTTAGGATCTTATTAATCCACAGATTTGGGCTTTTTCTTGAAGGAGGCCAAAATATTGGCTTTAACCAAATGTCTAGAAAACCTGTTCCATACCCCCACAACCCTTTAAGTAAAGAAGTGCCTCCTATTGTCAGTTTCAAATTTAATTCCATTCCAAGGTATTGCATTCAGATGAAGTGAATATGATTTGAAATATTTTGTTCATACACTATGTATTTTTAAAGAAAAAAAAATACTTGGGGAAAAAAGGTTTTGAAAGCCATTTGCACAGAGTGCCAACAGGATTTCATCTGGGAACAGTTGGAATGTCACAGTGTAACAATAATCCACAAACCTCTGAAAAACAAATTATGTAAAAGAAAGGTGTAGTTGTGGTCTCCCAGTATATCTGCATTTAACATTCACATACACTAAAGATTTAGCCAGCTCAAGCTATGTGCAGAATATCCCTTAAGGGCAAAAGGAATAGTACACCTTGTGTATTACAAAGGTTCAATTGAAGGGTGAAGAATGTTGTTTCTGGCATAGCAATAACATGCCACTCTCGAGTAAGAGCACCTGCTTTATGCTATTGGTATCCATTCCATGTACTGCAATGATTTGTACAGCATGTTTAAGAGCACTTAAATTAGCTTTGCTTATCACTTGAAAGGATCTATAATACTGGTCTGTATCATATTACTGCATTCAAATACTCCCAATGGCTAAACACAAAAGTCTGTCACTAATCCCAATAACTAGACTCTACAATGCATTCAATAAATATAAAGTATATACAATTTTTGTACATTCAGTGTTACATTTTGTACAATTGTGGATTTTACAGTTGCAGTAACAGCTTTCCTATAGTTTGGTTTTACTAAATATAAGTCAATACAAAATTATCCTGTAATTATCCGGGAAAAATTCTGGTTCTATCTGGCTTGCATCCTCTGTCTCTGCCAAGAGAGAGCGCTCAGTTACTGTAAACATCCGGCATAGCGCAGACACAGTATCTCAGCTTGGGCTAGTTTTATCTCGGTATATTTACATCATGACCTGACCAGCAGGACAAGGAGAAAAATGTAAGCATGTTGCACTTTCAGTCAGAAGTTGTAGGCAGCATGGAGACTCGAGGAGGGTGAGAATGAGGATAACGTGATAAAGGAATTCAACATTGGCTCGTTGACAATCAGCAACATCATTCTGTAAGCTTTAGCGGTATTGATTATGTGATAACATACTTAAATCTTGCCTAACTGGCATATTTGCCTAACCAGCACTCCTCAGTCCCTAAGGATGTTGGATACTAAAGTTCTTACGATAATTTGATGAACAACATAAACAGTGCTGCTTGGACAAAGCTCAACGTAGAATAAAATATTTTGTCATTCAGAGACTCAGATTATGCTTTCTTATGCTAAAGTCATCAAACTGGACACCTGTGAAGAGAAATTGTCTTCCCTAGTGCTTAACTCAACATCTCACATGGCACATAAAGTGATATTTTATACATACAGCACATTAGCTGGGGGTTAACCATTACTATTGAATTCCATAAGAATTATACAGTACATCTTAGTCATATAGTGTTCTGTTTTAGTGTGCTATGGTGTACAAAATGAGTTTACATGCATTCTAAAGCCTGTATTTGAGATCCCTTATTTATAAAAAGGGCCCATTTCCCATTGTTGTAACTAGAGAATATTGAAGTTAGTCACTTGGACAACTAAACAGCACACAGGCTTTCTGCACCTGCCAAAACATTAGAGACAAATGTTTATCTAGTATCAGAAGGACATCAACAATACAACCCTGAAAAAAAAAAACATTTTTCTTAGGATCAGTTCCAGATTAATATTCCCTCATATGTAATTTTACATGGTTTAGATAAGATAATCATGGAATGATTTTCAAATCCCTTTTTATGGTAATATAAATATAAATCTGATAGTGTAATTTACTATTTATCAATCTTGCGTGATATTTGACACATGGTAACAAATCTACTACATACTGTATGAAACTTCTATTTGAAAAAATCTATCATAAATCTGTGACAGTATAAGTTTTAAATACTAATGTCCGCAATATACAAATGGAAAGAAACAAAAGGAACTTAATACAACCCGGGAGTGCTTATTGTAAATACCATTCTCACTAGGGTTATATTGTTTGCATAAGCATAAGCATTTCAGAAAAAGCAACAACAAAATAATAAAAACACAGGTGATGTAAAAAAATGGCCTTGACTTGCTAATGTTGATAAGGAGTTTGCTGAAAAGAAAGGCAGTGTTTATACTTACTAAGATTACACGGAAATACCAAAATCAATTAAGCAAAGCTTCACTGAAAGGTAAATGTGACAGAAAAGCTGGCTAATCAACACAGATCATCTTTTTTACATTGTCATCAAGCATTATGATAAAGCTTGAAGCACAATGGAGGAGGCTGATGTGTGTACAGAGATGCTTTAAGTTTCGAAGTCAGTACATGTTATGTACATATAATGTCTGATAAAAAACAATACATTAAAACTACTTTTCTTTTGAGTCTTTCTGTATCCTTAGGGGTAATAAATCAGATGGCTTGCCAATTAGATGACAGAAAACCAAATCAAGAAAAAAAAAATCTGTTCCACTTCAAACAGCTGGATTTAGTTGTGGCTGTATCTTTTACACCTTCAGTTCCTACTCTAAAATGTTTTCCTCTTCAGACACCTTGATAAACTGTGGTAAGCAACATTGCAAAATGTCTCACAACAAAAACAAAAGGCACATTTTTATCACAACCTTTTATTGACAGGGATAGTGAAAATTGGCTATGACTTGTTGGACAAAGGGGAAAACATCAACCAACCACTAGGCCCATGGTCTTCTGGGATTTGTAGTTTCACTTCTGCACCCCATCTCCTCTAAGGAACTACAAATTACTAATAGCAGGTTATGAGTAGTACACACTTTTCAACATCCTGAACCTACAATACACCCCTTCTACTATCCTACCCCACATCTTCACACATACTGTATACAGGTACTATAAATGGGTAAAACCTTGAATATACTTAAACATAAAAAACTACACAAATCACTAAAATTACTCAACAATGCTTTATCAAATTAAAACATTTTTGTTTATGTAAGAAACCAAGGCTCCTACTCTTTATACTTTTAACACTTAAGATAAACATCTTCAGACAAAATAAGATATAAAAAAAACAATAAGCACCATCAACTGATCTACTGACATTCACAAGTTCTAAGGAACCCAGTCCTTCCTCTTTACTGTAACTAGTCTAAAACTGGTGATTCACAGGAGTGTTGTTTCAAGGGGGGAAAAAAGTGGGACATATGTACTTTTGTACAAAAGCTTTTGAGGAAAAATCAGTGGCACATTATATAAAGCAGCAGAAATATAAAAAGGAACACCTGTACTGAATTCTCCACTTAAGGTTTTGCAAAGTTTATTTGCGTAATGTGTCAATAGTGCTTTGGCCAAATGCAAATGAAAGGGGCACAGGAAAAACACTACAGAGAAAACGTAATTGATATGCAGCAATTAAATGAAATTCAAACAAAAGAGTTTTAATTTAAAGAAGAGAAAAGGTTAAAAGCTCCAGCAAAAGAAAAAACACCCAAACAGATATTTTAAAGCATTTGTTCTCGTTCAAACTTAAGAAATGAAAAAAAAAGCATTTACCTGATTTCTATAAACTGTTAATCAACCTGCATTCAGTATATTTTCACAGATACAGTAAATAAACAAGAAACAAATGTGTTTATCTTTTTATTAAATCTGAATTAGGATGGAAAGATAAACCCGCTTAAAAGGAAGTGTTGTATTGATTGGATCTTTGCAGAATGTCAGCAGAGCAGTTTGGAGTGAGAAACAACTAATTACCTGTCAGTCATTTGCTTCTAGATAGAGGTAGGCGGCAGTGCTGTGAAAAACCATTATAATTTAATCGCGTCTTTGGGTAGATACAGGTGTGCTTGGAAAGATATTACCATTTCATTATGTTTTAGCATTCACACCACAACAACACAAGGTGACCAACTAGTTGTATTTATGGCTCTTTGTAATCTGTATCGTACTTTACAAATGCATTCCAGTTCTTTCTCTCTCTGTCTCATCCATCCATGCATTATCTAACCACTTTATCGATTACAGGGTCACGGGGGACACTGAGCCTGTATAGGAAAGCGAGGAACAAGGCAACATACATCCTGGTCGAGACACCAGTCCGTCGCAATGCCCTGAATAAAACTGAACTTTTTAAAATAAAATCCAAAGAAATGAAAAAAATATATAAATTCTCCACACACACTCACACCATGGCCACTGATATTTTTTGGGACTGTGGGAGGAAACAGGTAGGCCCTGAGGAAACCCATATGAACATATTGAGAACATACAAAGTCAGCACAGATAGCACCCCATCTGGAATTGAACCCAGAGTCCAGCACTGCAAGGCAGGAATGCTAATCACTGCACCACTGTGTCACCCGCTCTCTCTCATTTGATCTTTATTTTATAAAAACAAAAAAAAATATCATCACGTGCGACTTTCTCAACATACTGTATCTCTACAGATTATTTGAAAGACACAGTATCACATAATATACTGTAGCAGTGTACTGTAGTTTTTCTAATTTCTGAGTCAAATGCGGTAAAATAAACACTTTGCTGAACACACCTTCCAGGTGTGTTACTGTATCACAAAAACTTACCCAAACAAAAAAGCCCTACGTTAATGGTACATAACACAGAAATACAAATTACAACAAAGTTAGTACCATAATTATTGAGCAAAATTTTTGCTTCTGATAAACTAACATCAATAACCCGGAGAATCACAACGACATTAATTACAAAAAAGTTCATGCTACCAGATCTAAGGTAGAATTCTAAAGAATAAATTGGTTAATGAAGTAGAATGTATGGTTTACGAGTGTTAACCTCTGGATTTTTCTTTTCTAAACCATAGGCAAAGTCTATGAATTCAGTGTTTTTTCACAGAAATTCCACTATTCTATAGAAAAAGATACTATTGATTCCCTAATGTGTACAGACACATACTGTACATACAGCATCAATGCAAAGAACTATGAGAAATTTTGGTCCCATGTCTTTAGACCTCTGTTTCTATCAAATAAGGTAAGGCTGTGAAAAGGGATGTTAAAATCTCTACATACTGTAAATAAATATACCATTAAAAACCTTTTGTGTTTGTGTGCGTAATAAAGGATTTCAAAGCATAGTGACTTCAATGCACTAGTCCATTTTTGTTTGTATTGAAATATATCTGAAACAGCTTTTGAAGGATGGTTATGAAAAAAAACAACTTTGACTAACAAGTTTAATTAAGACAACACTCGGTAAATGAAAGCATGCATTACTACATTGTGCATTTTTGCCTAACCCGGCTTTACGATTCATTAAATACAAAAGACTGGGACACACTTACACTTACCCGGTAGTAGTCAGTGCTGTACACATCCCTCGACATTCCAAAGTCCCCAATCTTCACTAGCAGGTTTTCTCCCACCAGGCAGTTCCTAGTGGCAAGGTCCCGGTGGACAAAATGTTGGGAAGCCAGGTACACCATTCCTGCTGCGATCTGTTGGGCAATGTGCAGCATCTGAGACTGGGTGAGTTCTATTGGACGGTTATTTTGCCCATCTGCCATTAATACTGCATCAGGACCATGAGACCTGCAGAAAAGACAAGAATAACATCAAAATAAGTTGACATGTACAGACAGATTCCAATTTAAACTGATGAAGGTGGAACTGTAATAAATGCAGATGCATGAGTTTTAATTTTGAGCCTATAGTTGACCAGAGGTTCCCAACCAGGTGTGGGTGAAGTGAGACTACAATGTATCACTCTGTATATTATTTACAGCTGCATAACTTTAAAATAAGGAGCACTATCAACAATTTAATCGTGTTTTGCTGCTTAGGGATATTCATTACTGAACAAAAAACCCTATATATATACTGTACAGCCTCCTTATGAATGGAAGCATTGTTTATAAAATATTCAGCTTATCTTTTTTTCTAGTCTTCTGTCTGCTTCTTATATTTTGTCAGTCACTGAAAATCATACTTTTTGCAGAGTTAACTTACACTGTCTTTAAAAAAGGAAATAAAAAGAGGTGACTGGTTTAGCATAGCTTGCCAACGACACAATCATTGTTGTGAAATGCTCTTAGTAACCTTTTGTCACTTTAGCACATACTGTATTTCATCACTACCTTTAGAAGTGTATAACAGAACACATCAACCGGGCACTGTTGTGAAATGCTATACCTGAGGAATTTATTCAGATCTCCATGCTTCATGTACTCAAAGACCATGATGAGCGGATCTCCCTCCACACAGACGCCATAGAATTTCACAATGTGCTCATGCTGTAGGTTAGTCAGCAGCTCTGCTTCCCGATGGAAGTCCTTTCGGGCATTGTCACTGGCTTCTTTCAGTGTCTAGAAGAATAATGTATAAATAAGACACTCTGATAATAATTATTTTCTGTCCTGCTGAAAGTATTCTGATATTCTCAAAATTTAGTATGCGTCTAATAATCTGTAATGGTCAGTGCTGTTTCTCTGTGGAGTCACTTTCAAAATACCAAATGTTGTCTCCAGACTATTCCTGTAATTTTCTGCTTCTCATCATCAGATAAACCCAACACCCTCTATATGTTCCATTTTTCCCCAAAGTACTGGTCACAAACAAATTTTGTCAATCATCGGGATGGGATTATTTTCTAAAATAAAGAAATCTTCTAAAAATAAATAGTCTAGAAAACTAATAAAGCACACCCACCACCAATATGTTGTCCCTCCTCATTAGTAAAGCTAATGTAACTCTGACAATTCTGAAACAAGCAGTAGCTTACCCTTATTTGCCAAAATCAGGGACCTCAAAGCACTTGTAAGAGCTCCCTAGCTCAACCAAGATTTGGATTTGCAAATGTGAACTTGGGTGAAAAATATCACTAATGGAATGCATTATTTCAAATATCCCGTAAAACAAAATTAAACCCAAATCTCCAGAAACTTCCTTAATGGTCATCTCATCAGATAATCAAACTCCTTTCCTCCCTATTAAGTGCCTTCAGGAATCTGCAGTTCCTTTGGAGATACAGTATTTCAGTGCAATGAGCTTTCCTCTCTTTATATTGCATTGTTGTTCAGGAATCAAATTCCCTATGTCTTGCTCTGAGAAAGCATAACGGTAGTACACTGTATATAGTTTTCTCCGTAGGCACCTGCATTGCTTTAGTTATTATACCATCTGTGATAAATAAATATTATTGAGGTCTTATATGCCTATCAAAATCAAACTCCACCTAGATACTTTTGTGGCAATTTTAAATATGGTTTATTCATAATCCATTTTTAAATAAATAATTTGATAAATAGAAACACTTCTTCTCGTGTAATCCAACACTTTTCAGGTTCTATTTTTTTAAAGTGTAAGACAGCTGCTGGCTTGAGTTACAGATACTGGCGTCATTCCCTCATGATTTAATGGAAAATTGAAAAATGCTGACTTTGCAAATGTAAAGAATCTGAAGGAAAAATGCTTAGGTTAGTCTGGAAAACAAGACATTTTTAATTCATTTGTATGAAGCACTTCTTATCCACTATGGGGAATGTTTAGATATCATATAAAATATAGAGTGAAAGTGAAAACCATTTTAACAAATAATGTGTTACCTACACATGAAACACGTGACATACTGTAGGACTAATTTAATATAATTTCTGATTTTCCAGTATGGCAATTCTCCTACAAGGTCATCTTGGTCAATTCTATATGATCTCAGGAGAATCAGAAATGTGCATTCTGGAAATCTACTGTATGATTAAATAAAAGTCTGATTTTACGTTTTGTTCCCTATCTAAAGTTGGAAATAATAGATCTATGTCATTAAAATGCATCACATTTCCACTACTGCTGTAGGATTCTTTCAGAATCCCAAAATTTAAATACATAATCAAAAAAGAATACTGTTGCCCTTCACTTCTGAGTCTTTCCTTAATGTGAAACTTTTTAAAAGCTTATATAATCTCCATTTTGAATATTATTTGTAGTTGACTCCCAGTTGTCTCTAGATGTATTTTAGCCATAGATCTAAACACTTGGATTAATTCAATCCTGTGCTTCTGAAATGTGGTACAGTATATCTTAAATATCACGTTACATTTTTGATACTGTAACATTTACAGTGGGTGTATGTTTGCATAGTTCAGGTGGGTAGCTGTGTCAGGATGTGTAGGCTGTAAAGTAACAAGTAAAGGTTTATTCCATGCTGAAAAGAGAAGAAAGAAAACACAATGTTTCAGCTGTGGAGCCTTCTTTGGATGAGCCAAAATGTTGTATTTTCTTTCTTCTCTTTTCAGCATAAAATAAACTTATTGCTTGTTCATTTGTATGTTTGCATATACTTTAATACTGTATTTTGTGTAACATAAATTAAATGGGTATTTGTTTTTAAAACAACATAGTCATGTTGTCATAGCAGACAGCCTTATCCACGGAGACTTAACATTATATTATGCATTTATTTTATTAGAAACCATGTACAACTTTAAAAGGATTGCCTACAAATAAACATTTTAATAAAATTAGTCTTTTAACAGTTACATGTATTTGCAACTTGCAAATGGAAAGAACTGGGCTTATAATGATAAATATATCTATTTTATATCTCTGATATATATCTCTGATATAAAATATAGAGATTTAAAATTTTATATCTCTGATATAAAATAGTGTTAAACCTTGATCACAAGAATATGGGTGCACAATATACATGTAAAGTCCAGAGTCACCTTGTATTGATACTAGGACAGATTACGGCACTTATCGATCATTCAAGTGTATCAAGACCACATGTCATAGAGGAGGGTAAGAGAAAGAGCTACCAATCTGCCATTACATGTATTTTTAATGAAAGTTATGTATTTAATGATATCACATTTCATGATAATCATGGAAAATTTGGCCCTTTAAACTTGTCATATCAGTAAGAATGTCGTCTGTGCTTTCAATCGCTTGCACTGAGATCACATAGCATGCTCTCATGACATTCCATTAGCCTCCAGCCAGCCACAAGCAATATATGTACAGGACTCTTAAATTTGATTTATCATAAAGCTCCTGCAGACCCATCTCTGAATTAATAATGGAAATTCTATAGTCGAATACCTTGACAGCCACGAGGATCTTTTCTTGATCAGGACAGAGGTTATAGCATTCTGCCAGGAATACTTTGCCAAATGCTCCTTCTCCCAGCTCCCTCTTCAGGACAATGTTGTGACGTTTGATGTGTTGTACAACTGTGGAACAGGGAACAATAGTATTATTAGGATCGCCTTTTCTTCGTCATCTTACAGTCTTCAACCAAAAACACTTACTGTATATTATATTTCCAACAATGACCACAAAAATTATATCCTGAAATGTTCTTTATGTTAGGGCTTATGAAGTTAGATTTGGTTTTAATGTGTGCAACGTTAGCATTTTGTGTTTCTGCTTCTTTGCATTCCTCTCATCTTTTTATTTCATAACTTGCAAATAACACAACACAAAAGGTGACACAATCTAGTGATCCACAGCCATCACAAGCTATACCTGTGACTTGATTTATCACTCTGTTTCTAGCGTCAAAGCATTTGCAATATTCTCTGTTAATTACATACCTAGTGTAAGCTAAAATTAAAAGTAGTTGAATCCCTTTGCAGCATCCTCTTTAATTCCCAAGTTAATTTTCGAATCAAGCATATAATTTGTATAGTGCATTTAACAAGATAAAGGTTAGACATCAGAGACAATATGCTTCCCTCGTTACCACCGTAGTATACTGTACATACTGTAGGTGAATTACCAATCCTGTGTTAAGTCATATTTATGAAAACAGAAGGCACAAAACAGAAGAGTGTTATGAATATAAAATCTTCAAAGAGTGGATTTGTTTCTATGTGAATAAAATTTGTCTGCACAAGATCATTGCTTCACTGACTTTATAAAACTTAAAAAGACATGAAAGTGTTTTTAGAACATTATATCTGATCTGTTATCATTATCTCCCTTTATATAGATAATTTATAGATTTAAAACGCCTTCTGATTTTCACAGCAAATTGCAGCAGGACACAATGATGGAGTTTCTTTATTTAATTTTAGTAAAGATACTCACACAGAGCCTACAGACTTTGGAATTGATCTGTGAAGACGAAATGAGTAAATTGGGAAAGACACACTCTGCACAGCAGATTATGTTCAGCAAAAGAGGCAGATGTGATCAATAGCAGTAGTAATATATTTAAGGAAATGGATATTTTAACTGACTCTGTTATGTTATGCCATTACAGTAGAACTCTGCAGCACAGAAGATGAAATTTAGTATTAAAGATTGATTTATGATGAGCAATCGTATCTTCTTTGTTCCTCTCAGTACACAAAGAGAACTCAGTGCATAAAACAACTTATTTTAAATGATTTGGAAAGGTTCTGTTAATTGTATGAATGAAGTTCACTTGTTGTTTTTATATCTGAAGTAACTGTAATATTGCATCAAGTATATTTCTGTGTGGGATGTGCACTCTAATTTTTACAAGTCAAATTGTTCTCTGCTTACCAGTTTATTGTAGTGGCCTTCGGTGGCAAGAGATTTGCTTAGAGAACAGTAATGTATGATTAGGGTGAAAATTATTTTAGTCAACGACTGAATCTAATAACAACACCACCATACCATCGCTGCATCTAATTTACAACATAGGTTGTGCAAAGTCTAAAACATATTTGATAAAAAGCTGAAAACAATGTAGTGAAAAGATAGCAATAACAGAAAAAAAAGACCAATGTTTCGACTGTGTCTCCTTCCTTTTCTTTTCAGCATGGAATAAACCTTTACCTGTTCCTTCACAGCCTATGCATGCTGAGGCAGCTACCTACTTGAACTACATTAAGTAAACAAACATCTTTTTACTCTTAACTTGTATCCTAATTTTATCAAATTGCCAAGCACATTTTCTTTCAATTACATCTTCTCTACTTCAACTGCTTTAGTTTCATCACTCAATCCACCCATCAATCAAGAAATAGATCAACATATTCCACAGCAGATTTTGAATTGATGCTATTCTACTGTACTTCATGGTTCAGTCTAGAAATCACGATTAAGCATTCTTTAAAAAGAATCTTATATCTGGGTATCTGGGCTGTTTGTCTTGTTTTGTCTTGTTTGTCTTGTCTTACCTGATTCTGAGAATATTTATTAAATACAATTCAAACCAAGTTACGAATATACCACACAACCCAACATGTTTTATTATTAATAATTTAAGAAGATATGGAAAACATGCCTTGTTGTTATTAATAACGTTTTCCAAAGAATAAAAAATTCCAATTGTTAATTTTTAAAAAAAAATTTCCAATTGTTAATTTTCTCGATTCCCCCTACAATTGCTCATTGCCACAGGCTCTACTCAAACACTCTTTCCCTAATTTCACACTAGTGAGAAAATTGCCATTGGACACACTGCAGAGTAAGTGTCAACTGGAAGAGTGAGGTTTCTCTCATAGACAACACTGCAGATTCCAGAGACTATGGGTGTGAGATGAGCTAAACACCCTTGTCGATTCAAGGCTGACTAGGATCAGGAAGAAAATGGGCTCTGAAAGTATACATATGACGGTTGGGAAAAGTTAACAAAGATGTATTCTCTTAATTTCTTAGCTTAATTTATACATTCCATCTCAAGTATTGGCAGGTTTTTTTTTAATTCTTTAAAATTAAAAAAAATAAAATAGCCCAAATGCTTATGAAAAAGGAAGAGGCTTTACTGTTCACAGAGTCTGAAAGAGACTCTAATTAATACCTTTTATAGTAAAACACTATAACGTTTTATGCAATGTCTGTGTCAAAAAAGGAAAATAAATAATCTACTAGGCAGACTACCAAAAGAAAAGAAAACATTCATATCAAAACAAACTGTTAATAAAATGCACAGATAAAGATAGACAAGAAAAGGATAACTGAAAAGATATACCATTTTTTAATGTGGTCTCTGTTAAGATGTAAGAATAAGGCTAAATTAATTCTATGTAACTACTGTATACTAGTCTTGAAGTATCCTTGAAAAAATCTTTTAAACACAGCATTTAACCATGACTTTGTTGTCATAAGATAGAAGGAAAAAAATGCAAATTGTAATAATAATAATTGTAGCATTTTTTTAACTCGACTGCAAACAGCTATGTGGGTGGTCTTTGAAAGACAAGAGAAAACACTCCAAAATTGTGTTTATATGCTGCTGAATACAGCCCTTCATTTTTCAGTACTAGTTAATCCTATGGTTAGTCCTATGTTGCCTTGGACATCTCTCATACTGTATATACTGTAAATTATATGACCAGGTGAATCAAAATCATGGCATCCTTTATGTCAGGAAAACTCACATGTCACTTTTATGATCTATATTTTCATGTGCCACACGTATTAAAGAGGGAACAATACAAGAAACAACAGTTATTCAAAAAAAGCAAATACATTATAATTGGGTGTATGGTGTAAGAAGCACACTCTCCACATCATACAGAGTACATATACTGTAGAATGAATTGCATGTTTGCCAAGACAATTCCAAATATTTCAATTATTATGTAAGACATATATGCTAATCAAGCCGAACTGTAGAGCAAGTAACAAGAAAATGCATCTTTAACAGGCCCCTGTACATTTTTCTTTAATACTCCAGTTAATTCTCTGTTGCTATGGAAACTAGCACGTTCGTGGATTTCCATTCTGTGCTGACAAATGACAGAATACACTCTTGAGTTTAATCAAGCTAGATTATAACTTTTAGGAAACTGTGTTGTATTTCAGTGAAGTCTATCGAGAAACAATAATACAGTACATACAAAATACAATCAC